TATATATATAAAACAATTCTAATAATATCTTATCAAATTACTGAACGTTTCAACTGCACAGTCTTCTTCAGTAGTCCGAGTTCAACGTAAATTACACACACACAAAGATAGAGATTACACAGAACATAGTAAGTACGTCCGAAACTGATGGAATACAATAAAGAAAATCACGATAGTACAGTATATAAATAAGAGCTAACAATTAGAAGCCAACATCAAAATCGAGAGAATATCCGATGCGGACATCATACAAAAATAAATAAATAAGTTATCGAAGTAAAAAAAAATAAAATATCCAAATGTAAAAATGCGTCGAGCCATGCAAACGTTAATAAACCGATGTATAAGTGAAGGCACTTATAGCATTAAAATAAATATCCTTCAAGCATTAAAATAAATATCCTTTAATCAAGCATTAAAATAAATATTCTTTAATCAAGATTTTGCACTTACTTCTTTATATCTTTTCAAAATTGTCAGAATATTTTTTATCCTTATAATTTCTCTCTTCAATTGAAGCATAGCTACTTACTTATGATGTAGAAATACGGTGCCCATGAGAGACTCCATATATCTACGCATCGCACGGCTCAATGGAGGGCGCAAACTCGTGTTTGCACTACGTATTCAAAGTTTACTTCGCAACTAGAGAATTTGATTCAAAGTCGCGCAGGTGGAAAGAATGTACACTCACTGCTCCGGTTACGATCCGCATTATCTGCACTCTAGCGAACGTTAAAAACAGCGTCTCAATGTCACACGCACGTACGCGCATCATCATTAGATATGTATGTACATCCACGAATGCAGAAATACATATCATCGTCTGCCCTTTGATGTGCGTCGACATCGCTGCGCTTCAAAGCGCGAATAGAGTATGCGAGCAACAAGAATATTCAGCGGTCGAATATTTTTCACGAAGTAGCACTGAGAGTACATCTGCAAATGGAATGTCTTTTGATGCACTTCTTTTCGCTCTTTTACGTCACCGATATGCACTCACGCCGCTTTGCATTCCGACGTAAAATCGTACGTAAGAGTAACGTATCGATAAGTACATTCCTTACTGCTAAGTTGAGCCCTATGCTACGCAAAGAAGAGAAAAGAAGAAAGTACGAGCAAAACGAATAGAAATGAATAACGCGGTTATGCGAGAAAGTGAATGAAAAGCGAATGAGACACGATGGCGATGAAAATGCGATTTCAAAGTATCAAGAAGGAAAATACGATTTTCACGACGTCAATGCGACGATTTAATTAATCTCAAAATAAAAAAATTATTAAATCAAGCGACGAAATAGCAATCGATGTAGCAATAATTGTCATTTTGAATGGACAAGTGCAAATAAATTAATCAGAAAACAAAAAATGAAGATATCGAAAATTCAATTTAGTGCAATTCCAATACATTATAAAGCAGTGAATATATCAAGATTCTTATTGATAATATTTTGATAAATTAATACACACATCAATAAGTCTCATAAGAAAAAAAGAAAATAGAAAATAGAAAAAGAAAATAAATGCAAAATTATCAAGTTCACGAAATAATAAAAAAATAAAAATAAAAGACAATAATAGGTCTACTTTCTATGGTTACACTATAATACACTTTTTGAACTTAATATAAAATAAATTATTTACAATTTTTAAAACACTTAAAACATCAATTAATATAATATCTTTCTAAAGTGCTTATTAAGTTAAAAATTATTAAATTGCTTATCAATTTAAATATGTGATATTACTACTCTAGTTCTGTTCATTGCGTTCAAGACCGAAGATTTTCGGCGCGCGGTTTGTAGAATTAGATACGTATTGTACTATACCTATATAAATTCTGAAATATTCAAGCACTAAGATTCGCTTTGACCGAAAATAAGTTTATTTTTCTTAATTAATTTAAAGTGAGATGGGTATATGTTTAATATTTGGCGCAAGTGAAAGAGTTCTAGTGTAATACAGAGTAGGAACAAAAAACAGACCTTATGATTGAAAGTTATTAAATACATAACGTTCAAATTAAATATCTAATTTATTTTTAATCATTTCTATCGCCTCCTTAGGGGCAGCATCCACGGTACTGCTCCTACTCAATATGTCATTTAATTTAATTAAAACAGTAAAAAAATTAAACAATTTAACTTCAGAAGATATATTAAAGATTCAAATTTAATTCATTATGTAGTAAATGCATTAATATGCATGCGTTAATATGGACGTTTACTTTAAAACTAACCATAGGAATGAATTAATTTACATTTTGACTACACACATGAAAGTTGAAAATGACAAAATGTGATTTAATTCAAGAGCTATTATTGCTCCTTTTATAACCAACAATGTATTTCTGCAATATTTCTATGATGTATTATCACATTCGCAAAATATCATAATGGCCATTATTTCAATTAGAAACGTCTACTAAACGTAAATCACATTTACTATGTATATAAAGTACTTATGTTATTATAGTACTATGTACTTATAGTTAGCCATAATTTTATAGAATTTCCAAATAATATTGTATACACTATAAAATACCAAGAATGCAACTATCATGCGAATAATCATTAATATTACTTGACACAATCCCAATCTCCTAAAGAAGAAGCTATTGAGTGAACATGATCTTCTTCTATGCATCAATACACCTAGCGAACTCTGACAAAAGGGATGGTGGGAAGTAGAGGGTGACGAAAACTACTAAGTTCATGAAACAATCAGGCAGTCAGGGTGACAGCGAGCGCAGGCATAACGGCAGTCGTCGGCTTGAGGCGAGCAGGCAAGTTAGGATGGATACAAGAGAGAGAATGAAAAGGGAGAGAGAAGGAAGGAGAAATGGACGAGGGTGGGCAGACAGGTAGGCAAGCAGGCAGGAAGGAAGGAATGAATTGCGCCTGCGCGCTGAAACGGCCGGGCTAGACGCGAGAGCCGCCACTCCCGAGCACGTAGCGGTGTACCGCGGGTGCTGACCGAGTGTCCCCGCGAGAAGAGCGAGAGAGAGTGAGAGGGCGAGAGCGAGAGAAAGAGTGCGGAGAGAGCAGGCCGTGAGAGAGGTGACAGGAACAGTAAGATGTCCATCGTGAGAGGAGAGATCCTGCGGAAGCGGAGCTCATGGCAGGACACCGTCGGCGATCAGGAGGCTCCGACTCTGTAGGACACAAAACGAAGGAGACGCACAACCTTCAGGAGGAGAGGATCCTCGACTCCCTCCTCCGCCGACATCCGTTATCCCTCGCCCGAGTGTTATCTCGGTGTCTCTTCCGAATCGAAAACATAGCGGGAATCGCGAACAAAACTCAGTGCTGAGCAGAAAAGAACGGAGGAGAGCGAGAGACAAACAAGAGGAAGAAGAAGAATTACGAAAGATTCCCGGTGATAACAAGTTTTCGCAAAACTATCCATCTATTCCATCTTCATTTATTGCGCGGTGGCGAATCAAAACTACCGTAGTGATCTCGCGAGTGACTAAGCGCGCACAGGCGAGACAAGGAGAATGCGTCCACGATAGAATTATTCAAATTGAATTCCAAGTGTCGTGATACTACGATATTACACTTCATGTCGCCGCACGAATGTTTATAAAAGTATCGTGAGTGATAGTGATAGAGGCAAAGGTGATCCAGAAGATCAGGCGAAAGCGTCGAGAGCTGAGAGAGAATCGTGGACGAGCGACGAGCCAGAGAGCACACGGAGAGGAGTCTGAAGAGGAAGCAAGACGGGGGTAGGAGGGTGGGCTGGGCGGGAGGGAGGGAGGGAGGGTGAGACGCAGACGACACGCAGAGAGGCGCCGGGTCAACGCGCCAGGTAGCAACGCCTCAGGACAGCCGTCGACGTTCCCTTCGTCGTCGTTCTCGTCCTCGCCGTCGTTTCAGCGGCGAGGTGGTGTCGTGATTCCTCCTCCTTAGAACGTGGACAACCGCGGCGACTCCGGGGGATGACAGCCATGGGGTCCTTCCACGCCGTCTCCGGGTGCTTCGTTCTCCTCGTGGCTACGGTCGTCCTACTGCCCGCTACGCATCACACACCGTTTGCATACGCCGCGTAAGTCAGCCGTTTTTCTGTATGCTTAGACTTTTAGACGATTGAATGCACTAGAGTGCACTGATACACATTAAAACCGTTGTACGGTTAATCTGATCTAATGACTATTGTAAACGTGAAATGTAAACATTTTTAATTACAAAGTACAACATACATTTTTTGCCGAACAGCGTACAATAAAGTGTATTAAGAATTTCGCGGTTTAATCCATTTCTATTATTTATGTTATCTTCACATTAATTTGTGTACAAGGACTTTAATGTGCACCAGGGCGCATTGAGTGCGTCCAATCAAATTAGACAAAATATAAATAACAGGCGAGCGTAATATGAGAGTAATATGAGATTGGTATGTGGTTTTCAGAAATAAATGCTGAAAGACGTAAGAAATAAATGCTGATAGAGTAATTTTTATAGGAATCGTTGGTATTTTTTACTAATAGCTTGAATCTGATCGTCTTCTGTATTACACGAAGTACGAATGGAATGTCAGAAAATAGAATTCTACGCGAAACATCGAGATAGCGAGTTGTTGATGTTTTCTTTACATTTGCAAAGCAAAGCTCATTGTTTTCGGTAGCTATTTAACTGTCTTCCCATATTTAGGAATGTCCGAAGAGCATATATTGCGTGTGTGTGTGTGTGTGTGCGCGCGTGCGTGCGTGTGTGTGTGTGTGTGTGTGTGTGTGTGTGTGTGTGTGTGAATAAAATAATTAAAGCGAACATACTTGAATTTTGATAAAATAAAAGTATAATAAGTGGAAATTAAACTAATAAGAACAAATCAAATAAGAGAAAGTATCCTATTTTCGGTCGAAAATACTTAATATTGAATTGTCCGGAAAGTTCGTGCCGACTAACCTATACAATTTAATAAATGTATACTAAAATTTAAATCTTCTGCGTTTCAATTTTCCTTCAAAATCGGCACGAACTTTCCGGACAACCCAATATGAATTTGTAAATTTATATATGAATATTATTAAGCACCAAAATTCGCTTCGATCAAAAACAGAATTTTTTTAATCTTACTTGAGAAAAAAGAAATTAATACTTTATCTAAACACTTTTAATAGATTAATAGAGATATTGTTTATAATATTTAATAGAGATAATGTTTATAAAGTTTTATTATAATAAAAGTTGATCAATTTTATCAATTGTAAAAATAATTAATTTGTAGTATTCTAGATTTTATTCTCATATGATTTTGTTAGATATCACATTGGAATACAGCTTTCTCGCGAGAGATTTTAAATATGTTTCATTCATATATTATTCCTATCAAAAATAACAGTAATATATCAGTATGACAGGAGATCTAATTGGTCTTCTGTCGTACCGATATATTACTGATCATATTTCACACATTCTCTTGTATTTATATTTTATAATATAAAGACAATGATATATGTTTTTCACAGTAATTATTCCAAGAAAGATTCTTGCCAGATATATCACATCCCTTCCATATTAATGTTGTGAAAAAATATTGCGCCGGGCAAATCGTGACGAATGACATCTTCCTTGCGATAAGCGTCATTCATTATGCTACTTCGACGGAAATAACCAAGTTTTATTACGCGATCGTGTCTGACGTCAACCCGCCCGCTGCCTACTATCAAGAGCAAACAAGATAGATTTAGCCTTTGACATAACGGGCGCCACAATGAGAGTAGCGCGTAGCTCTCTCCGCCGTCTGGATGCACCTCCGTGATTGCATGTAAATGAGCGGATACATGCAGTCACGTTGTATTCCCTAGTGTATGTCTTACTACCACGCGCAAGCTCTTTCCATGATCACAATGACACCATCCCTTGTGCCTCCAAGGCGACGATAAGGAGACTCTCTCTCTCTCCCTCTCTCTCTCTCTCTTCCTCTCTCTCTCTCTCTCTCTCTCTCTCCACCCCCCTCCCTCTCCTTATCGTTCTCCTTCTTCCCCTTCTCTCTTTCTCGTCGCGTTTTAATAAACATAATACAATATTTTACATCATGCATGCAGTGATCGTTTTAAACTATCTATATTTTCCTAATCAATCGACAATGTCAACATAGTAAGCGTAAATTCTTAAATCTGATCTGATTAAATGTGATGCAAAACTATTATAGCGATATCGGTTGATTCCAATAAATAAACGATTATTATAATTTATACTAGATTAAAAATCAATATTAAAATTTTTAAAATAATTATACACAAAGATTTATAATATTTTTCAAATATTATATAATATTATATAATAAAATATACAAATTAAGAAAATCCTTTGATGTATTCAGTATAAAAATCATATTTTCATTGAATTAAAAGATTAAAATTAACAAAATCGTTCATTATAACATTCATTATAATTAAACCATATAACCAACCCAATAAATTTTTCCAGTGATTTTCAACTTTTGTCATAATTAATGGAAATATTTAAATACATACACATATGAACTTTATTGTCAATTAGAAAATGTTACTTCAAGCAGAAACAAAACGATAAACTGGCGAATAGAAAGAACAGAAGCAGACATGAGCAATAGTAACAAAGCGCAAACAATGTCGACATTGGAATTGGTCGATGCTACACTCGCTCATCCGTTGATCGCAATTCACTAGTACGTATTAATAATCCGCAAATATAACCGGCAAAGATATCTGCAGCACGAGCCAGCGCTATCGATCATTTTGCACGAAACATTCGACGCGCTGTACTTGCGACCAACGTGACGGCTGCGTTCAATCAGATTCTTTCCCTGGCCGCTGTGATACGTTCCCTTACTACTGAAATCTTAATACGGCCATTGTAGTAAGGTTTATTTTATTTATTTTATAAATAACGTCAATAGTACAATTATCTTCTAAACTCCTAAAAATATACTTGAATATCTTCTTAAACAAGAAGTAATTGAAAGTTAATTGATATTACTTTTATAATCTTTAACGTAGAAATTTTGAAGTAATAACGTTGAAAGCATGTTTTATTTTAACTTATTCCGAATGTTCAAAATTCTCAACAAATTTAAATGAAAATTTTTGTTCAATGTAAAAACATATCTATTGCTTTATAATAACGCATTTTTTAATAATAAATTAAATCGTTACGATTATATCATAGCTATAATTTTCTGAATGAAAACTATACTTAATATAACGACAAGTTGTATGTACGGTTTTCTTTAGCAAAAGTTATGTTATAAGCGATATAAAAAACAGTCTCAGTTTCGAGGTTAGACAGTGAAGGTTTTCTACACATCAACTGCATTTATATTCCAATAATCACAAATATAGATTCATGAATAATCACAAACGGTAATGGAGACGTAAGTTTAAATTGTGAAAACGAGGATAAGAGGACTTAGTCAGTGGCATTGACTGCGTCGTTATCGATATTCCCGTTTCGGATTGTCTAACAAAACACGTATATTTTATGAACTGGGGTAACTGCAGTCTTTATTACTTTTTTGTCCCTATTAGTGTACTTTTGTATTTAAATAAATCATAAAGAAAACTAACACAAATAAATAAAATAAGGTATTTTTTTATTAAGTTAAATTATTAATGTACACAATACCAATTCGATCAAAAATAATGTTCTATTTTTTAAAGTATAGTAAAAATTTTTAAAGTATAGTAAAGATTTGAAAGATCTGAGCAATTTATATAAATCTAGTAATATCGCAAAATTTTAAGCTTATCCCTCTTAGTACATTCTGTTGAAGTCGAAAGTGTTACTAATGTACATTGAAATTGTAAGTATAATTAAAATAATGATTTATGCAATATTAATTTGAATTATTACTTTATTTATTATCTGTTTAGTAACTATATGTAAAATGAGTCAAAATGCGAATAGACACAATTGAGCGTACATTAATAAGGCCATCACTTTTTGAAAAGCTATATACTAATAAGAACAAAATATTTCTATTGTTATTAAAAACAAAAAATATTAATTTTTAGATTAAAAAATATTATATAAAAGAAAAATAGTTGAAAAATCGATATTACAAGCAGACAAAATTAAAAGCTACAATTATTAATAATTATTTCAGTAATGAGAAAGTTGGTAAAAAGCCATACTAATAGGAATAGTAATTCTAGTTAATCAGAATTTTATGTTCTTCAGATACTAAAGACAATTTCTCTAAAGTATCAGACAATATTATCCATAGTGAGATAATCACTATCGAAACAGTTTTAATTCGCTACGCTATTACGCGCGAAGAAGATGATAAACGAGTAGTTACATGTAGTCAGAAGGATTATCAATATTTATGCTCTTCCGACGAGCGGAGGCTCGGTCGTTCCACCTGTTTCCTTCTCGAGTGGGTCGCGCTTCTCTCTGGCCTCCTCTAAACCTCTATAAGTACCAACTGCGGAGGTACTATAGCATAGTATCGGTGATCGCAGTAGAGCTCTCGAGCAAGAGGGTGCTCCCAACGTGGCAGGGCTCCAAATCCTCCTACGCCGCCACCCTCGCCAGCCCACCAGTGACTAGAATTGTCGCCACCCTCGCCTACTCTTTGGATCGGTAGCGTACACCAAAACCTCCATCTCTTTACAACGAGAAAGAACACTATTTTTGCTTCACTCTGCCATCCGGACGAAGGTTGATCCGAAATCTCAATTTCACCGCATTATCTTCATTCCAGTTTCCATCATCCCTGATAGCTTCATTTATTTAAACCTAGCAACAGCAGTTATTAAATGGCAATTTTGATAAAAATATAACAAAATGTTAAAACTTTTTTAAAGAAAATGAGAATAATAAATTCGATAAATTTACCAGCAAAATTGGTTGAAACAGTAGTACGAATCAACAACAAAGGTTTATCATAGCTAAACGTTCATTCGAACTTATTTTGAAATATCTAATATAAAATTTTTTTTATATCTCTTTGTTTTTTCTTGTAAATGTATATGAGTATAAAATATAGCTCATGTAACTCGAGATATTTGCTTTTAAATATTTGTTAAACAAATTTCATACATGAATTACTTTTTCAAA